ACTCATCAAATATTTTAATACTAAAGCTTTCAAATTGCTCTTTAAAATTTTTCATATCTGTACAATTTTGCAAAACATTCTTACAGGATGGAAATTAGCTTATATTTATCCGATACCCAAACCTAAACCATGGCAATGTGATCTCAATAATACTAGGTCTATTACTCTTTTAGAAACAACTAGAAAAATTTATGTCAAATTTTTAACGAATCAATTATCCAAAATATGTATAGAACATCAAATCCTAAAAGGATTAAACTTTGCAGGCCTTCCGCATAATTCAACTATAGATCCACTTCATATAATTAATAATATTTTGGAATCGTCTAGATCTGAAGCTCGAAAAAATAAACTTTTAAAGAATCATGTTCTTACCCAAAATCTATTCATTCTATTTCAAGATATGTCTAAAGCATATGACAGAGTAAACATTTACATACTTCAGAAAGCCATATCCTAGCTTAAAATTCCTATTAATTTCATTAATATCATCACCAATCTTTTTTTGAACAGAAAAAATAGAGTTTATATACAATATGACTTATGACCAGAATATGATGTTCTAGTCGGTATTAACCAAGGTAAAATTATCTCTCCTCTTTTATGGATCATATACTATGACCCTTAATTCAACATAGATATCATATTACCTGTTAGGATACAATTTGTCTCAAACTTGGTTTTCTGATCTTAATAATTCCACTCCAACATCAGACTCTGTTAATATTACTACTACTGCTTACATGGATGATACTAAAGATGATACAGCAATTGATTTCAAATTTATAAAATGTTGCAACATAAGCCAAAATTAGTTGCAACGTATGTTGCAACATTATAAGTTGCAACATATATAGATTAAAACTAATTGCAACATAAGTTGCAACATTAAAAGTTGCAATATATTAATTACAGTTCCCATCTTTAGATGATACCACTTGGATCTCAAATGACATTTTCAACCTCAAACAGATTATTGATATAGCTGATACTTTCTATTAATTAAACGATATTCAAGTTAACCTAGAAAAATCTTTTGTAATTTTGATATTACCAAATCAAAATCAAAATTTTTTTTTTTAATCTTCCTATTATCAGAAAATTGATCAGTATTCCAACATATTATAGATCTGAATCAGTCAGATACTTAGGAATTTGGATTAGCATTGACAATAACAAAAAATTCATCATCAACCAACTAAAAGATATTATCAATGACTTTGTTCTCAAAATTAAATTTAAACTCATGACCGACAAAATGGTTTATATCTAAATAACACTATTCTTAATCTAAAACTAGAATATAGATCGTAATTATCTCTTCTTTCTAAAGCAGAGTGTAACAGATTGTACGCACCAATCAGATCTGTTATCAAACACAAACTTAGAATGAACAAATGTTTACCAAATAGCATATCTAGACACAATTTAACATATACTTACAGAGATTTCTATGATGTTCAAACGCAGGCAAAATATGATCACTTCACCAAACTGATCAATCAAAATAATCTCACAGCTATTACCTTCAGAATTCATTTTAGACAAATTCAATTTCAACATCATTTACACAACAATCCACTCATCTCTTAGAACTTATCAAATCCTCCATCAAAGAACTCCAGTTTTTTAGAAGCTCTTTTAAATAATTTACAGCATTTGAACATCAATTTTACTCAGCTGACAAATGATTTATTCCGTATCAAAGGGGGTCAAACTCCTCTGTCTAGTATTATTTTTATTAATAGACTTCTTTAATTATCCATCACATTATATTTTTAGAATAATTAATAGTTGGTAAAGGCCTTTATCTTATACTGTATAGCCAGGGTTGGGAAGTACAGTGTTAGTACAATGATTAGTACAATTAATACAGTTAGTACATTATAATAATTAATATAAAAATTAGTACAAGTATAGTACAAGTACAGTGTTAATTTTATCTAGTACATACAAAATTCCCAACCCTGCGTATAGCGACCTTAAACATAAGACCTTTAGATCACTTTCTCAAATAAGCAAACTTTCAAATTAGTATCTCAGATTACAATAAAAAGTTGTTGAAAATTCTGTTTATACTAATAGACTATTATCACAATTTGCATCTAATATTTCGCATTTATCTGAGTTTGTTATTTCTACCCCAGACCAGAATCAAAAATGGATAAATTTGACTACTTTCTGGGACAATACTTATCAACAAATAATCATTAGATGTTCAATTAAAATTTCTGCTCAACCACACTTTGCTCTTTTTCATCATTTTAATAGACAAAATCTATTGTAAGACCCCGTTTTCCTTCAAAAAAGCAATATACTTACACAACATATCTGGTTGTCACCATAATTCAGATGATGACAAACTAGATTCCAAATTACCAAATACCTCAGATCTCAGATATGCCTTTTATGTAAACTGTAGTTTACTAAACATAATTAATGTAAATGTCTTAAAAGGAATAAATATAAGATTAATAGATCGAATTTATTTAACTAGAGCTTCTTTGTTCACACTTTCTGATCAATCTCTTTTTCTTCATAACAAATTTTATAACATTAATATCTCTTCATAACTGACTATAGAATTCTCTAGAAATTTTTCTCATAATACTAATTTTCTAAAAAAATTGATTGTTAATTATTCTATTTATTAACATTTATTACACCTTCAACAATAACTTTATTTAACATATCTAAATAATCCCAAACTTAGAATTTTATACAAATGGTTCCCACATATATAATTCTGATAATTTGTCTACTAATCTTAGTTTAGCATTAGCTTTTATTAAAAATGATAATTTAGAATTTTCTTTCTCAACTGCTATTATCCCTATTTGGTCCAATTCATCTCATGCCGAAATTATGGCTATTCTTTTAGTCATACTTTTGTCTCCTTCATGTTCTAATATTATAATCTATATAGACAGTCTTTTTTCAGTTCAAACTTACAAAAAAATCAAAAAAAAAACATTTTGAACTACTCTACTCTCCTTTTTAAAATCCTTTTCTATATTTATTGATCTTATATTTTCTTTTTAATAGACATTAAACCCTTATAAGTGAAATTCATAAAAATCAAAGCTCACTCAGGAATCAAATGGAACGAATATGTCGATACTCTTACCAAAGATATTTTATTTGAAATCCTAATGGAATTAATTTTTGATTATGCTTCTCATGTCAAATATCTTCCTAAATTTCAGAATCTTATAATTAATAATCCAGTTTGATCTTTTATGAAAACAATTGCAACAACTTAAGGATTCATTGATTTTTTTACTTAAAAAGAAACTTCAAATACAAATATTTTCATATAAACTGGCTCTGTACTTTTACTAATTTAAAAAGACATCAAGACTCAAATACAACCATATTCGATAACTCAAAATAACACAGCTGAAGAATCAAATACTTAACCAAACAACTTCCTACAGTAGAATTTTTAAAATCTACATAAAAATACATTTATCATAATTCATGGAAATGTTATCGCTGTGCTATAGAAAATGAAACTTTTGATCATATTTGGCTATGTACTGCTAACTTATCGATCATGATAGATATAATAGATTGTACCAAAAATTTCATACTGCATCAACTTATCACACTACACTTTACTCCTTCTATTGCATTAATTTACTATCTAAATACTGATAAACTTTGGACTATTGCCTCTAACAATAATTCCTTAATCTTTATTGATCTAATTAAAGGCATTATTCCTTCAAACCTTTTCAATAACATCCAATGTATTACAAACTCACAGAAAATCATTTTTAATATCCTTTCAAACACTACTATGTATCTTTATAACTGAACTCATCATGATATTTGGCTCTCTAGATGTGAACTCATGATTAAAAAAAAAAGCTTTACACATCTCTGATAAACAAAAAAGAAAATATGACTGCTCTTCAACATTTACTTTTAATCGATACATTAATTCCTCATTTTTTTCCAACCAACCTATTTTTACAAATTGGATTGATTTAGTCAGACTTTTTATAATTAATAGCAGGGATTGGACACTCTTCTTGAATCGGTAATAGCTAGTTGTTTTTAATTTTTCTTTATTTTCAAACTTCTTCTTTAATGGACAGTTATGATATAACTTATATTTATACATTTGTTTTTGAACTCGACAAGACAACCGGCTGGTTTGGAAGGACCTGATCTTTTATAGGTTTTTTAATGTCTCTAGACAATAATTTTGTTTAAGTTGAATCATATAGATAGTACTTTAGTTTTTTTACTTTGTATTATTTGATTTCTAAAATTTTTTATTAATAAAATTATATTACTGCGTCTAAAAAAAAAAAAACTGATCTGATGTTGACGAATTTTAGCTTGTTAGAATCGTGGCACTGAGGAGAATCGGAATTCAGTATCAGTTTTTGGGTAGTCAGCCTACTGAAAAAATTTTCTACACTTAAATTTCATTAAGTAAGAAATTTTGATGTAGATCGTTAAATTGCACAAACTTGGTCTTAATAATTGCACTTCAAATTTTTACTGAATATTAGCTAGGTTTTAGGGTTTAAAAAAAATACAAAACTATGTTTTTAGCATTCATAGTTGGTAAATTATAAGCTTTTAAAGGCAAGCAACTCTACTTGCATTTCTTTTGTTGCCCACTGTATATATTATTTCAACCCTTTGGTATTATAGCATTTGTTTCTTCAATATTATAAATTACATTTTTATTTTCTAAATAATTAACTTTAAAGAAAGAAAGTATATCTTGTATAGTAAGATTAATTATATGTGCTAAACAACAAATATGATTATTTTTTTGAGTAAAATTAATATTTTGAGATTAACATGCATTTTCTATTATTTCCATTGAAATATCATTATTTGAAGTATTATCTATTATATAAATTAATATCTAAATTAAAAATAAATAAAATTAATTTAAAAATAAATTAATCATTTATAAATATCTATATATATATATATAATTATACTTTAGTTAATATTTTTAATTTATTATAATATTATAAAAATGCTTCAGCTAAATTTTCTTCAGAATGTGATTTAGCTAATTTATAAAAATCAGCTAAAGTTTTCTTAAGTTCCTATTCTTTAGAAATCCAATATACAGTAATACCAAGAAATAAAATACAAATTGATGATGTCTAAACATCAAATATAAAAGAAATATAACGAGAAATATTTTAAAATAAATTAAAAATATTATATTAATTATATAAAATAAAAATACAAAAATTTAATATAAAAATAGAAAAAATACCTATTATTTTTATTTGTTCTTGTTTAAAACTTTCTATAATATTATCATGAATTGTATCATTTAATGGAATTTTAATATTAGGATTAAATATTTGTAGGGATGTTAAACAGTCCTAAATGACTGTAAATAAATATTGAAATTACAAGTTATAGAAAAGTCTAATCGCTTATCTATAATAAGTAACACTTGATAAATAATTGTAATAATAAATTTTATGAATAACTTATAAAAGAAATATGAACTTTGGAATCGACAATTAACATAGGACCACCAAGGTGAGACCCAGTCCTTAAGATCAGGTTCTATATTTCAAAAATTAAGATTCTGAGTTTCCGCATAAGTTTAATATATATTTTTAATTTATATTTAATTAACAAATTATCATTAGAAACTAAAATATAATGCCAGTAAAATAAAAATCTTCTCTAGAACTGCCAAATTTATTAGGATTTTTAGGACTGTTTAGAACTGTTTAACATCCTTAAATATTTGTAAAATTTGTCATAAATATTTTAATTAAAAGGTTGATTATCACAACAATTCATTTAAAAAGAAAATTCTAAAAGTTTATCATAGTAAAAGGCTATTTATATTTTAATAATTTATTTTTTTAATAAAAAAATACATATAAAATTTAATTAAACTTACAGGTAAAAATATTTATCTATAGAACCTTCTTTTATTTTAACTGATTCAATTTTATTAGGATATTTATTAGTTAAATGTCTATGAAAAGATTTGAATTAGTTTTTCCAACACATTTATATTTTTTACTATTATATAAAAATATTTAATATTTTATTTTATTTTTATTATTTTAAAGCATAATATAATTTTTTTTTTAATATAATTTATAATATCAACATGCAATATAAATAACATGCTTATTTATCTTCAACTTTAAAATATTTTCAAGCTATACTAGATAAACTTGAAGAAAAAGTAATTTCTAATATATTATTTTTCACTAGATTTAAGAAGACTATTAGACTTATTTATAGGGTAATAAGGATCATTAGACTTATTTTGTTAGACTTAAGAAAATCATCAGACTTATTTATAGGTAATAAGAATCTTTAGACTTATTTTTGCTAGACTTATATAGTAAATATACTATTTAATAAACTAAAATACACAAAAATAATTCCTGATATATTAATTTTGTTAGACTTTTTAATATAACCAAAAAGTTAATATAGAAATTAAGAAGCTGAAGCTCCTAATATCTTTTTTAATATAGTAAAAAAAGATGATATTGATTTTAAGTGAACCAGAAACATATAATGGTAAGTGGGAGTAAGGGATTTCATCTCAAAACCCCACTATAATATTATGTAAAATGTTAAATTTTTTATAAGTGAGCATAATTATTATCACTAATATTTTTATCAATATTTATTTAATAAATCATATAGGAGGTTTGCTAGGAAAATAGGATTCTAAGAATTTTTTTATTAAAATTTTAATTTTTTTGTATTTTAATTTTTGATAATGTTAAATTAAAATGCAATAAATATTAAAATTTTAATAAAAAATGCTTAGAGTCCCATTTTTCTAGTAAACCTCTCATATATTAATTGTTTAATATTATAAAAATTAATTTTAAATATAAAAATTTAAATATTTTTATTATTAAAATAATAAAAAAAAATTTTTTAAATAATAAAAATTTTAAATCAAATAATACAAATAAAAATAATCATAATAATAATTATAAATTCTTAGAATTTTAATTTTTGGTTTTTATTTTTTTAATTATAATTTATTATGTTTCTTTAAATTTTTAAAACACTCTTACTTAATTTAGATAAATAATAATATTTTTATTTAATGATTAGTTATCTTATTTTATTATATATTATGTAAAACTAATTTTAACTTTTTAAATTTTTTTATTAATAAATAAATTAAATAAATAGCTTTGTTTTTTAATTCTAAAAAAAAAAAGTAAAAAAAATTATAAATAAATAATTATATATTAAGATAAAATAAGTAATATTTAATAAAGTTTAACATTTTTTTTTTTTAAAAAAAAATAAAAATAGATTATATGGAAGCTTTGTAGTAGAAAGGGAGAAAACTCTAAAAAAAATTAAAATTTTACTTTATAAGCTAAATATAATTTTTTAGTTAAATAAGTCCTGATTTAACATTATCTTAAAAAAAATTTTTTTTAGAGTTTCCTTTCTTCTGCAAAGCTTCCATATTATTATAGATTCTAAATATTATAATTTTAAAAATAATAGAAAATAAAATATTAAATTATTAAAATAAAATTACTATTATACACTTTATCTGTCAAATTAAATTAAAATTAATTAATAAACATAAATGATAAAAAAAGAAATTATTTTCTCTTTTAAACATTTATTATAATTTTTAATAAAGTATAATTTAATTTAACAAATAAACTTTTTTTTTTTTAAAAAAAAAAAGAAGACATCTTTTATACCAACATTTTGTACTTTAGTTTCAACATGATAAAAAAAATAGTACAAAATTTAATTTTACCAACTATTACATATTACAATATCAAATATATACAAATGTATGAATTTACCAATAACAAAATTGTTAAACCAAAAAAAATAAAAGTAAAAAATAAATTAAATTTTCTAAAAAAAAAATTAAATGTAATTGTTTTTTTTTATGAGTGTATATTGAATAATAAAACTAATAATATACATTCAACAATGAGAAGAAAGAGATGTTACTAAATTACAATAAATTATGAGGTGATGAAATATTATGATAGATTTAATTAAAAAAAAAGAGATTCGTTTTAATGAATATAAAGAATGTTTGATGAAAGGAATTATAAGGGCAAATGATACCATTTTGAAAATAGTTAACAAGCCAACTTTCATGAAATTAATGATGTAACATTGATTTCTGTAAACTCTGAATAAACGTCATATATAAGAAATGATTTTTTAAATGTTCCGGAACATTGTTTGACGTTTTTCTGCCTGAATTTTACGTCGACGTTGAATTTCCATAATATGCATCTCGCAATATTGTTTATTTTCAAAACTATAATAGATATCTGTAAGGGGGGTATTGCAATTCTATATAAATTTAAAACCAAAGTTAATATTCTAGTAACGTAAAAAAATTTTAAAAATAAAAAACTTTCAGAGATATTTACGTTCACGAAACAAACAAAGCAACGTGGATGATATCTCCAACCCTCAACCGTTTGCGCACAAGGACCTTCAATGGGCTCATCACAGGTTTTACAGAGAGAATTATTTAATCTGTGATAATGACGTTTACAATATGGTGCATTATTGAAAACATAGAATGACTTGTCTGGGAAAGGTTTGTAACATGTATGACATCCAAAACAGTTTACATGCCATTTCCCTTCAAGCTTTCCATCACTAGCACTAACAGCTTCCTTTTCTACCGGTAAATTACATCTTCTACACTTTGGTAAGAATAAATCTGTGAAATCTTGTGGACAATACACATTGCCATCTCTTTCTACATGTCCTACATTTGGGTCAATTGGATTGCGACAATGAACGCATAGAAGGTGATTGGAATGCCATGTTTTACCGAGTGCCCACAGTGTAGACGACGATGAACTTATTTCAGTTTTGCTTTAATAATAATATATGGAAGAGTTTAGTTGATTTGAAAAAAGGATCGAAAATAATTTAAATAAAAAAAAAGTAATTAGTCTTACCAATATGCACAAATATCCCGCGTGCCACCTCCAGATGATGAGTTGATACTCTTTTGATCATCATAATTAGCCGAAGATGTTTGCATATTTTCCATTTCCTTTATTAAATTATTCATCAAATAATCAAAACCTCCTCCTTCTAAGTAAAATAAAATTTGCCAAATTAAATAAATATTCATTTATCGATCGAAGAAATAAATTTATAATTAATTACCTTGTCCAAAAGAACTAGATTCTACGGAAGGATATGAATCGTCGTTATAAACCTTATTATTTTGTGATGATGGTGGTGGTGGTGGTGGCGCATATGGATTTGGGTTTGAAAAAGGCTGTGGTTGTCGTGGTGGTTGTTTCTCTTGTGGAAAGTTACGAGGCGGCATCCTAGAGCTATCATAACCCTCATAACTGTATGGTGATTGTCCATATAGCTGATTAGATGGTGGTAATGATGGTGGTGGTGGATAATTAGATCGATCAATAGCTGCAGGAGATCGACTTCTGCTACGAGGATCTTTCCCGTTATTATAACCACTAGGTTTTTGGTTTCGTGTCATACGATCATCTGGCCTTTGGTCATTAGGAATCCTAGGTTTACCCAATCGATATGGGTCGTCCATATAACGGTTACTAGTATCATTAAAAGGTTGTTGTTGCTTGTACCCATGATCAAAAGGTCTATCATTATTAAATGGTTTCCTTGTATCAGATATTTCACGATCTACCGGATAACCTTGTCCATATGGCTTGTTGGGATATGCATTAGGGGCAGATGTATATTTAACAAAGGTATTACCACTATTGACTTGTGGTCTGTCAAATCGCTTGTCATAAGATTCTTGATTGTTGTCTATAGATGAAGGTGTTGTTGGGGCGCTTCTAGGGGAATGTGACGGTGAATTGAATTGTTTACCAGTCATCTGCGTATATTTTTGTAGAAAATTTTTTGTTCCTTTAGAACCCGGTGTAAGTGGAGGTGGTGAAGCATACTTACTGCCCGAATACCCCGAATACCCCGAATAACCAGAATCCGTAGGTGAGGGTGTAGTATCATATGGTGAACCATAGCCACTGCCTTCTAAAACTATGAATTGAAAGTCAAAATCAAAATTGATTTTATTAACGAAAATTAAAAAAAAAAGGGTTGAATTGATCAATCATACCAGGCACAGATAATGGTTTAGGGATTGATCTAGACATTGGTAGTTCGTTTTTAACTAGTAAAATGGGTAAAACAATTTAGATACCCTATTTGAAAATAACTTTCTACGTAAACTTTAGTAGCCACAATTAAACACACCTGGTCTTGCAGAAGGAGGTGGACTTTTTGTGGCAGATTTTTGGTAAGCAAGAGGTAAGGCGGGAACAGCGGGAGCAGCCTGGCAAATGTGTTCACCTAACATTCGAAATTCTACAGTTTCGCCACAATCAGAACATTTAATTGACGGTAGTAGCTGGCTAATTCGAGGCTCTTGTTGTTGCACATCCATCATTTAGTTGCCACTTTTTTAAAAACGAAATCTAGAGATGAAGTTGATATAAAATAGTCAATCGAACAACGAACAGGTTTATAAAAATATATTGATGTCTTCCCGAAAAGGAAAGGATTATGAACCCAAGGATATCTAAAAAGAATCTGCATTTAACGTAATAATTGCATTTGCGTGATATATATGGTAAGAAATTTGCATCGAGACATGAGGTGCATGATTAAAATGTATTCCAAATATAGATAAATTTAAACCCGGTAAGAACATTGTTTGGTGTATTAGAAATGACTCTTATAACAAATAATATAAATACAGCGGCGGTTTATCTATGACTTCCAAATTAGGTTAAAAAATAATTAAGGTCGTCTCGATTCATGGCATGAAAGCTAGGAGTATAGAACATCTTGTTTCATGTATCAAATTTGGTTTAGTCTAATTGATTTTAATTTATTTCCAATGGCTTCTAATGCTTCTGATCAAAAGGTAAAAAAAATAATTTTTATCAAAATAATTTAAATAATTTTTAAATAATTTCCCGATTTAGGTATGTAGTCAAATTTTTATTTGAATCATTAAGGAATAACTTTTAACGAAAAGAAATCGAAAGACATTAACCAAAATCGAAAGGAAAAAAAAAATAAATTAAAATAAAAAATAAATTAAAAATTAAAATAAATAATAAAAAAAAAATATGTACAAAAAAAAAAATTTCATAAATAAATTAATTATATAACATTTTATAAAAATAATTACTATTACGAATTAAAAAATTTCACTATAATTTATTATAAAGATCATTTTTTAAATAAAAAAAAAATTTTTTTGATCCTCAATATATTTTAAATTAAAAAAAAAGCGACTAAGTTTTTTTTTGTTTTTTGACATTATTTTTTTGTCAAATCTTTTAATTGAGGACTTTTTGAAGATACTTTTGATTTTTTTTTTTTTTTTTTGGTTTTTCGAGAAATATAATAATTTTGCATATACCGTAATTCAAAGAATTGACTAAACAAAAACTAATTTTGAGGAATTAATGTCATCGCATATGCGAATTTTTAGAGTCGAATTCAAGAGAAAATGGAAAAATGTCTTTTTGAATAACAATAAGATAAAATAATAATGAAAAAAAAAATATATATATTAACATAAAAAATAATATGGTCGTTTCATTTTTTTTATACAAAAAAAAATAAAAATCGGTATAAAAATATAAAAAAGTACTTTTTGATTTTAAATTTTTTTAAATTTTTTTTTTTTTGATTTCTTATCAAGCCTTCTTATGTTTTTGAGAAAGCATCGAAATTAAGGAATGATGAAATAATATTAATAAAAAAGGAAGTCGATAAAATTGATAAATAATGAAAGGAAAATATGGTTTATCGTAAATAAAGAAAGGGGAGAGGGTGGAAACCATTTGGTGACGATTCGCCCGCTTTTTAATGATCAACCCAAACAAGCCAAGTCTGTCATCTAAGCCGAGACCATGTAATAAGGCAAAGCCAATCATGGTAAAGGCAAGGATGTCGGTGCGAATTGGAAAGTATATATAGATAAACCTTTAATATCACAACTCGAATATAATCATGAAGATATTTCTAATGGAGCATCCGAAACTCCTTCCGCTACAATGTCTACGTTGACCTCTGTTCTACCGACAGCCTGTAACTTTATAATACCCCGAATTTCACCCTCTTCCTTTGGTTGAAAACGTATTGGAAGTAATACAAATGCACGTGGTTTAATTTGAACACTGGACAAAGGGATTGATAATGCTGTTAACGCTTCATTGGAATCGCTTCCTAACTCTACTTTGCATTTTATCCTTATCAACTGACTAGACGGATTATGTATTTTAATTCCCACTGATCTTCGTTTTCCTACTCTAGTTGCTGGAATATGTACCTCTGTCTCCGAAACTTCAAAGTCCTTTAACCTAGATCCACTATTTCGCTTTATATCAGGTCTTACAGGGGCTGACACGTCAAGTTTTCCTTCACCTTGTATACGAACACTGACACCTCCTAATCCACCAGCACCGTCCGCGTTCATAGAATCTTCCAACATAAAGCTTTGATGATACGTCCCTACGATCACAGGACGAAAACTTACCACCACCTTTTCGGTTTGGCCAGGTCGAAGAAATCCGCTCGTTTTCATAATCAAGAATACTTCATCGTTGATTTTCTGAGCGGAGGTAGATGCAGATGTGGATGCAGATGTGGATGTGGATGTGGATGTGGGTTCAGAACGACGAAGGAAAGGATTCGTCGCAGTCGTAAGATGCCATGTAACAGGTTTATTTGTTGGATTATGAATACGGAATACGCTATGGTTTGTTTCTCGAATAGTGGTCGGAGAACAACTAATATTTCCTGGAGCACCGACGTAAAGAAAATTTTTGCGTTGGGGGAGTTGCTTAATGGATTTGGATTCGTCAGGTGTGCGAGAACGAGGATTGGGTGAAGGCGATGTACTATTTCTACGGTCGGGCGTATTAGGTCGACTACGTAATGATGATGATGATGCTTTCCTTCGGACAACTCGATTTTTATTACTACCTTCTGGGCTGCTTGAACGACTAGGTGGTTTACTTGAAATACTTCTTCTAAGAGGTGGTGCGCTTTGAACTTTATTCGTCGTGCCAACAGCCGTGGATTTACCTTTGGAAACACTACTAATTTTAGCTGGCCTGGGTCTATCTTCTGGCTTGGTCTGTTTTCTAGTACGCGCTCTGGCAGCTTTAATCAGATCATCCACAGTTCTGGTGAAACTCTTACCACTTGATTTACTAAATCGTCTAATGAAATTTCCATCCTCATCTTTAGCATTTTTTGAAGACGATCTTACAGATTCTACTTCACCCTTCACTTTCTTCTTCACCTGTACAATGTCTACTATCACTTCTTTACGTTCATTATTCTCACAAAGCACCAACAATCTAGTTCTGCCCATCAATGGTTTATTATCATCATCCTTTTCTGAACCTTTAAGAATGCCCATCAATTTTTTAGAATCATCGCGTTTTGAACCCGCGGAAAGATGTTTATGCATTACCGATAACTTAACCAACGTTACGCTCTGAGGTTTAACAACACCGTAAGCCGGTGTAACATCGAACCGGAATGCCGGCCATAGTATTTCGTATCTAAGTGGTTTATCTGTAATATTTGAGATGGTAAACGTAGTCTCGAATAAAGGTTTAGCATTATGTTTAGCCAAAGAAGAGCTACTGGGGTTACTTCGTAACGTAAGAGAGGTGGTTGACGCGTTTGGGCTATCTCTACTTACGAACATGCCACCAACTACTGTTAAATGCTCTGGAGAGACTTTCATACCCTGTGGTTCCTCTTCGATAATATTAGGATTCAAGATACTACTTATGGACGTTGGAGTAGAAGGTTTCTTTTCATCTACTCCCGAATCTGTTAGGTCTACTTCTTCACTTGACCAAATGCCAATTTCTTCATCCTCCTCCTCTTCATTGATTGTCTCTAGAGGTTGTTCTGGAATTGATACAGCAGGAGACTTTTTAGAGTCTGAAATATCACTTACAGGGGATTGTAATGGACTAGTAGGTTCTTTTAAAGGGCTCGATAAATTAAAACCTTTACTCAATATACTAGGGCTTTGACGTTGATGATATTTTCTCAATTGTCCTAATGTCTTTTTTGCCCATATATTACTGCCTACTTTACCTATATGATCTGCCGGATCATCATTTGGTAATTCTTTATGATTCTCTTTCGCAGGGCTAAAAGATCTCTTTGGCCATCTCCAAGAAGTTGATTTACCAGAAACAGGTGTCAAAGGAGCCGATGATGCAGACGGTGTCATTGAAGAAGCAGGTGACGGTAATATATCAGATATCTCTGAAGGGGGATATCGACTACTTGCATTATCAGATGACATTTCTGTTTCTTCTTCTTCCTCTTCATCATCTTCAGTTTCTGAAATTGATAACATGGGTAATGGAGTTCTAACAGTCAATTGTGGCATGGTCCTTCTGGATTGTATTGAGGGGAAAAGACGAGTAATTCTTGCGCCAGGTGATTTTCTCTCTGATTTTGATTCTTCTACATATTTCTCTTTTGAAGAAAATAAATCAATACCTAATGTCCGTGTTTTTCGATTTGATCCATTTTTCGAGAAATCAGGTAGGGGATGAAATTCTTTTTGTTCTTTTTGAACATTTTGCTCACTTTGCTCATTTTGCTCATTTTGCTCTTTTTGTTCTTCGAATCCGTCAGATTCTTCCTCCTCATGTATTTCATCCAAATTTGATGTAAATGAACCGGACAAACGTTTTTCACGTCCTTTTGTCTTTGCTTGTTGTTCCTCTATTATTATATCATCATCCTCTTTGTCCTCTTCAGGAATAGATGGTGTGCAATGTGATAAACTAGTTCCGCTATTATTCTCACGTATTTTCTTGGGATTATTATTTAACATTCTTTTACTACCAAGGGACATTTGCTGTCGTCTTCCGAATGACCGAGGACTCAAGACAGGCGGCGATAGCGATGTTTCATCACTTGACATCAATTCTAGGAAACGAGAATTATTCGTTCGATTTGAACCAAAAAATTTCCCCGGTTTAGGTAATATGTCCTTATCCTTTTCATCATTTGTTGAATCTAATATTTCTTCCTGCTCCTTAATTTCTTTAATTTCTTTCCGCTCCATAATTACTTTCTGCTCTAACTCTCGTGATTCTTGTCTTTTCTCTACCCCTTCCTCCTCTTTCTTTTCCTCCTCTTCCGAATCCTCCTCATTTATCGGAATTAAATTTAAAATTGGTTTTATAGGTGCAGAGGGATGAATCGAATCATTAGAAGGTTCAAGCGTATTAAGGGAAGGTGAAGGCAAAGGATTCATTCGACATGCTGATGATTCCTGCTATAAATTTAAATAATAAATTTGTTTAATAAATTTTCTTTTTAAAAAAAAAAATTATTGTAAAAATTTTAATAATACCTGTTGTTCAGAACCTTCAGGTCCTTCCATCAAATCAGTTAAAGATTTGAAGCGCGGACTAGCTAATTGCATGCGTCGTGGAGAAGAAGGCCAACCTTCCATTACCTTTCTTCCTGACATGCGTTCTCGTGTAGGATCTATTGAAGGAGAAGGCCATCGTTCATTTCTGTTTTGATTGTTTGACGTGTAAAATCTTGGCTAATATAGCCGCAAAAAATTAAATATAATTATTACAAAAGTTCTTATATAAGTCAACTAGATTTTTTTTTCTCTCTTTATAGTAAATAAAAATCTCGTTTATTAAATCTTCAAATTAAAAACAAATGACATGAAGTGAAAAGTGATTAAATTTACCCTTTTTTGGGGAGATAGGCCACCGCTCAAATCTCCCATTGGACCGCTCATGTGAGAAAAGTAAGCACCTGGACTCGGATATTTATCTTCCCTATGTAATGATCCTGCTCTTCCTTCTTTTACATTCTTCAATGGCGAAATATTTGGATATTTATCGGGTATTGATGTAGGTGAAGGTGAAGGTGAAGGTGAAGGTGAAGAAGTAATAGCTACAGCGTGTTGACCTTGTTTTATGGTGCTATACATATCACCAAGTATCGATTTTTCCGAATGAACGGATATAGATAGGGATGATGGATTCAGTATGGATGATACGTCTGTTGAGGTTGAAAGGTGTTCGGAGGAATTGAGATTACTAGAGAGTATAGGTGTTGTATTAGGAAAATTATTAGTTGACATTGTTGAAATATCCGAAGTTATTTGCTCGCCTTCTTCACTATAACAAATAGTCTCGGTTTGTTTTGAGACTAAAGCTTTGATATCTTTCTCTTCCAATATTCTAGATAGTGCGTCTCTATTATGACTATATACACGACGAGTTTGTTTTGTCAAACAACTGTCCTCCTGTCCAACCTTTTCCTCTCTTGATACCGACAAATCTCTCTCTGAATCTTTTGAAGAAACGGACCCATCAGACGATGAGCTTCTGCTCAAAGTCGTTAAGGGTTTTAATGGTTTGCTTTCCAATTTTGACTGTTGTATTGTGGATATTTTGGTTTTTTCTGAGATCTTTGATAATTTGCGACCAGCGGTATGTGTAGGAAAGAGTGACGAAGGTAGGTTAGACGATTGTTGTGACAAAAATTTTAAATTGGGTGAGAAGTCATCTTCTATAAAGCTATCAGGGTTACTATTGTCCTTTTGTTGAGCTTGCTTTGTGTTACTATTGTCCTTGTTACTTATTTTGGGTGAGAAAACCTTGTCATTCCCTTCTAACTTAAAGGGTTCATAACCGTCTTTTATTTTTTCAAAAGATTTGTTAGGTGAGACTCGTGGTAGAGATGATATCGAATTATTATTAGTTAAAGAAGGTTTTGAAGATTTATTATTAATTAATGTCACAGTAGAATCCATCTATTATATTAAACAGATCGGGTTGTTGACGATATTTCATTTAGTTGGAGTATTTTATTATTTTTTATTATTAGCACCGCGCGGGGGGGTGGGGGGAATTAATTTTTTTTTTTTTCTCAAAAAAAAGTAGTTAATTTCAAAAAAAAAAAAAAAAAAAGAAAAAAAAGAAAAAAAAAAGGAGTGAACGATACGGGTACCAGTTTTATAAAAAGTTATGGAGATCCTTTTTATTTTTTTTAGAAATTTGTTTTTTTATTTTTTTTTTGTCAAAAAGTAATAGAAGAAAAAAGAAGGGAAAAATGATAAAAATTATATCGTTTTTTTTTTTTTTTTTTTATTTTTTATTTTTTATTTTTTTGAAAAATTGTTTTGGGTAAAGTGTAAAGAATAAGGAAAGTGATCAAAAAAAAAAAGGCTCCAAAATAATCAAATTTCACTCACTTGTTTGGAAAGCAATGGGTATGTGTTATGCATAATGTGTTATATGTACATAATTAATTGACGTCAATGTGTCTTAATAGTTTTATTTTATCAAGTTTAAATTTGTTATATAGAGTACAAACAATCAAATAATAAACAATTTTTTTAATGTATCATATAAATAAAGTGCATACAATCATACATTAAGAATTCGAACACCTTATTATTGTAAAATAGGTAAATTGTCATCTCGCAAATCGTTTCTGAATTCATCACCTACATTTTAAATCACTCTAAACAAACCATGATAAGAAGTTTGGGAGAGGTGTTTAAAAAACGGGTTAGGGATTTGTTTAATAGCGTGACACATTACTACTTTGCTTTTGGTTATATGCTTTAAACTTGTTCGGTTAGTTTGTTACTCAGATCTTGAATCAGCATCAAACTGGTTTTGCTTTAACTTCAAACCTTTACTTAGAATTAAAGGATATGGATCAATATCAATTGTTTTTCGTTTTTGAAATATGATCCTTTTTTTTTGAATCTTTCAGAAAAATAAAAATTATTTGTTTGTTTTACTTATGATACGCGTATGATTATTATTATTGTCAATCAGAAATTACACGTTTATCTGCCACGTTTTTTTTTTGTTTCATCATTTTGAACATTGAGTTCCCTTTTTGTATTCAGGGGAGATCAACAAATACAAAATTCCCGCTCTTTTTTTTTTTTTTTTTTTAAAAAAAATTTTCCTACAGGTAACTTTTAATTTTTTTTCCACCCCTTAAGTCATTCAAGTTGTCAAATGAAATCCTTTATTTTCGATTCGAATCCCAATTGGTTAGCTTGAAATTTCAAACAGGGATTATCAATTTTCCCATGGAAAAATAAGAACCTTTATCTCACAATTTTCATTTGATCCTAAATATAAAATTTAAATAAATGTTTTAATTTTAGTTTTTTAAAAATTGATAGGTGATAAATTAAATTGAATAATATCAATTACAAGAAAATTTGTTTGATCGTATTGTGATAAATTCTATCCTTGATTTATACTAGATCAACGCTGCATGAAAGATAATTAATTAGCCATGCATTTCTGATTCAAGTTGGGCTACCTATTACCTCTTTTGGAATTGGTAATTTCACATTAATATTTATTATTTTTCTTATTTTGTTAACCAAAAAACCAATCCTTTTTTTAGAAGGTGGTTGTCACTATAAATAAAAAATATTAGCCTAAAATAGATTTTATGATGATTTTTTTAAAATGTACCTTATATTTTAAATTAAAAAAAAACGAAACAAAACAACCTTATTTCCAAAAACTTTCATTATTATCTTGTAATAAAATTAAACAGGTTTTTTTTTTTGGTCCGTGTTTTTCAACAAATCAAATTTTGAATAAGCGCATAAATTATTAATCATTAATTTATTATTTTTCCCAAAATATTCTTTTAAAAAAAGTGCATGAATGTCTAAATCTTTATGAATATATATGTATATAATGTATATAAAATTCCAAAACAGAGAATATCAGATTTACGTATTAAAATTTTATTAAATAATAGTAATAATATTTATTAGAAAGTATTAATTAATATAAAAATACCTTTTTACAGAATATAATATTAATAAAAGTATTAAAATTTACTAAAACTTTAAAACGCATTAATTAATGTTTACGTGTAAACTAAATGTCTCCTTTAAGAATGAATAAAAAAGGATGTAGATTCAATTTTAAAATTAATAATAATAATAATAATAAAAATAAATTTTTTATTATTATTACAATTATTATTACAACTATCCTAGAAAAAAATTTATGTTTCTTTGCCAAGTTGTGCATGCATCCTCTCAATACGATCATGAACCGTTTTAAGTGTTTGATTTGTTGTGGTTAGCTTTTTTCTTGCTGTGATTAATTTTTGAATAGAAGGTTGAATTGGTGGTGATTCGGTGGCTTCAACAAATAACTGAAGTTCTTTTAAACAGGATATATATGTGTTGTGTGTAAGTCAAGGTCGTTAAAATAGGTTCAACTTCGACTCACAAACCTGCATATAGTCTTTCGATTTCTTTATTTAATTCTGTTTGACTTGCTTTCACCGCGACAATTCGTGAATCCATTTCTTCAATTACGGGTGTTAACAGGGTCATCAACCCTTTAGAGAATTTTTCTTTATCCAAAATAACATCTTTGTCGGACGGATTTATTATTTCGGCACTAGAAGCTTCGTCTTGATCCATTAAAATATATATATTTATATCAAAAATGAAAGTTATGTATTTTATAAAGATTATTACTCAACATTCATGTTACACAGGATCTCAAAAACTGGACTTACTTATGAATAGCAAATATGGGGGTATTCATGCGATATTTTACAATTAGGTAAGTTCATTATTAAATATGACGGATCATAAAGGATAGCGTCAATATATAAAATATATTAAGTCCCAGTATTTACATAAATTGTGTATAATATTAAATTATAAAAATTTGTTTTTAAACATCTCAATTAAATTTATTACGAAATTTTTTTTTTATAACTTTGATTTTAAATAATATCGTTTGTAATGACTGGTTTTTCCAAATTTTCTTCCTCTTCTTCCTCTAATTCATCACCATCATCCAGTGCTAAATCATCTTCCGCATCAAATGTATTAGCTGGAACACCATATAAACGAATTAACGGCTATTATAAAAAAAAATTAAAAATTATATTTCAATTTCTTGAGGAGAGTGAATTTTTCTTTAACGACAAATCTTTACTTACTTTATTGGGATCTTTAATTAGCACATATCTACCCTCTGGTAATTTCATACACAAATCAACAATAGTCCTAACAATTCCCCATCCATTTGAAACGGACAAATTCATTTGGGCTGTAAAGTCACGCGGTTTATACATTTGGGTACCCAATATAACGTGTTTTTGATTGTCCTTTGGAGAAACCCGAGAAACATATCTACATGTATTTATAATAATAATTATAATAATTTTGAGATTTAAAAATTTAAATTTTTTTTCCCTAAAAAAAAAGATTCAAGTTTTTACCCTAATTTCATTTGATCAGCTCCAGCTAAAATGCTTTGAACTGCCCAACGTGCTAATTTACAACTATTATTTTTCATTTCAGTTGTAACAACAGCTCCCCTTTGGGTATCCAATTTTTGTCGCCAATCCAAAGCTCCACCAGCTCCTTGAGCTCTAGGATCAAACTCATTCAAAGCTTTAATAGTAAGGAAAGAAACCCCACCCGTTGGAGATTTTATAGCAGAATCAAGTTGTGTACGAACAATAATTGAAACATCCTCGTCTTCATTAATGCTGAGGTCAAATTTACGATATCGATAAGCGCATGGTGCCATTTCTTCCGCATCCTCTGGAGAATTGATAAATGGATTCGGTTTTTCAAATTCATGTTTTTCATCCTAATTAAAAATTTTGTATCAATGAATATCTGTTCTGTCTTCGTAATAAATTAAGACAAATTAAATGATATCTCACCTCATTTACTACTTGTAAAGCAAAATGATGGTTGATTAAGGTCGCTTCCAATGCTAGTGCGGTAGGGGCATTAATATTATCCTTATCTCCGGTTTCAAGCGGTGGATCGGCAGAATTTTCATTAACGGTTATATAATCTAATTTTAAAATAAAAGTTGGTCAATCTTAAATTATAATTAAAAAGAAATAAAAGATTATTTTAATTATTTACCATAAACTCCATTACTTCGTTTATCAAAGAACAACTTGTTTCCTATACGATTAATAACAATATCCCATGGATATACAGATCTTGGTGCACACATTAGTAAACTTAGAATAGAATCAGTAGCGAAAACCGTAGCTTCATTATCTTTTGCAAGCTAAAAAAGAAAATAGAAGTTAACATTAAGTAAATTTAATTAAATAAATTCTTATGCTATTTACTTGTTCAATAATAGGATCCTTGGAAGTAGTTATAAAGAATCGAACTTTCTCGTTAGGAAGTAATGATTTTTCACTTTTTGTTCGAACAAGATCATAATTCTTGTCGTAAAAATACAAATATCCATGTGAAGATCTAACAAAAATAAAATAAAAATTTTAACATAATTTAAAATATAAAAACTATTTAGTACAAGTTCATACTACTTATTATATTATACATACAAATCTTCACCATCATCTACATCCAAATTAAGTTTGGATAACCGACTGAATTCAATTTCTTCAAGAACTTTCCATTCCGGTCCCACTTTAACCGAAGCATCTCTTGCACGTTGGGGCTGTAAATGATAATAATATGTTAATTAAGATTATCGAATTCATAATTGCCGAAAAAAGAATTAATTTATTAATGCAACCTTGTCATAATCTTTCCAACCGTATCGTCTCCGGGCAGCAGTGGGATTCGATCTATTCCCAGGTGAATTCCGATTTTGATTACCATACCTTTGAAATTGTCCATTCCTGACATTTCGAGATGCTTGTCCTCTTGCACCTGTTCGACCCTGTAGAAATTACCATAAAATGTTATAATTATATAGATTTAATCAAATCATTCGGACCCTACTTACCTTTGTACCA